AGTTTAGGTGATGCACGCTTGTGGGGGAAGCGGGGGAATGGGAAGGCGAGGGCATGCCTGCCAGAGGGTTTTGAATTTGATCAGATCTGTGTTCTAGAACAGTGAGTCTGAATGCACTGGGCAAAGTGGACTGAGAGGAGAGGGATGGGAGTGAGTAGGCCATCTCGCAAGATGCAGCAGTGGTCCAGATGGGGGTGACGGAGGTTTTTAGCTGCCCTGGTACTTTATCAGATCCGTGTTCCGTGAGGAAAAGAGAAGTCAACCTAGACATTTCAAACAGGATATTTGATACAGGGGATTGAGTACCAAAGTACAGGAAAAACAGAACGGGTATGTCAGGTTACCTAAGATTAGTAACTATAGGAAGCTGCTAGCCCGTTTAGGGCCACAGGTCTAAAGGGAAAAAAGGTCTTACCCAAAACCAATATAATCACCAGGCCCTCACCAGCCATGACTGTTTCTGCCATTGTTGCTAGAGTCACTGCTGCTGTCACCACTGCCTAACGTGTTGGCAGAATAATGGTTTCTCTCCACCTGCCTTATGACTTCCTTTGACAGAACATGGGAATGGGATCTGGGAAATATGTGCAGTTTCCAGCCTGGGTGTCAGAGTCTACAGGGGCCATGACAGCAGGCTCTTCTGCACCGTCTCAGCTGAAAACAGAGGCTTGGTCCCACGTGTCTGGCCTGAGTGGCCTGGGACTCGCCCTACTGCTGTGGCCACCATGCTTGGCAGTGCTCAACCGTCCTGGGGACTCTCTCATTAGAATCCAGACTATGCTTCCCAGCACAGCAGCCATTCACCATGTGTGGCGATGTAAGTTTTATTTTATTTTTAAACATTTTTATTGACTTGAGAGAGGAAGAGAGAACCAGAAACATCAATGATGAGAGAGAACCATTGATTGGCTGCCTCCTGCACATCCCACACTGGGGATGGATCCCGCAAAGCCGGGCATGCACCCCAATCAGGAATCGAATCATAACCTCCTGGTTCATAGGTCAATGCTTAACCACTGAGCCACGCAGGCCAGGTGCTATGTAAATTTTAATTAATTACAATTAAATATGATTAAAATTCATTTCTCCGTAGAATGTATAATAACAATAGGAGTTAACCCCAATGCAAACTATGGACTCTGGGTGACAATGACATGTCAGTTCATCAATTGTGACAAGTGTACCCCTGTGGTGGGGGATGTTGGTAGGGGAGGTTGTATGGATGTGGGAACAAGGGGCATACGGCAACTCTCTCTACTTTTCACTCAGTTTTGCTGTGAACCTATAACTGCTCTAAGAACATTTATTAATTTTTGTAAGAAGTCATTCCTCAGTCCCACCAGCCATATCCCAAGGGTTCACATGCAGCCAGTGGCTATTGTATGGCCAACACAGGTGGGGGTAATCTCCATCTTCACAGAAATTTCTCCAGGACAGTGCTGCTTCAAGGTGTCACCTCTGAGGGATTGCTTCCAGCATTTTCTCCATAGGCCTGGCTCTCCTCCTTCCCTTACTAACTTCTCAGAGTTGAGAGAGGTATGTAAGGTTTGAATCCCACCCCTGCGCAGCAAGGGAGTATTTAGTTTCTAAGACTGAAAACCCCTGATGAACTCTGAAGACCAATGAAGTCCACGTTCGAAGGTCTGCCAACCTTGGCCAAAGCAAGAATAAAAGTTGCCAGAATTTCACTTTTTGAGTGGACTTTTCATACTGATCATCTGTGAATATACTATTTATAATTTCCAATTTATTCAGCTTATTTGTATTATCACTAGATTCCAAATTTCTGGTGTCCTAAATTTGATATAGTAAACTCTCGATTTTGCAGACCTTACTATACCAGACTTTGGATTTAATGGACAAACTGTCCGGTCTGTATGTCACATGTGAAAATTAACAACCTTTTCATTTTAAAATACTTTTAGCCCTAGCCAGTTTTGTTCAGTGGATAGAGTGTTGGCCTTCAGACTGAAGGGTCCCGGGTTCAATTCTGGTCAAGGGCACATCAGGCTCAATCCCTGACCCTGGACAGGGCGTGTGTGGGAGGCAACCAATCAATGTCTCTCTCTCTCACATCACTGTTTCTTTCTCTCTCCCTGTCTCTCCCTTCCATTCTCTCTAAAAATCAATGAAAAAATATCCTCAGGCAAGGATTAACAAAAAAATAACAATACAATGCTTTTAACCAAGATTTGCTGGTAATTAAATTAACAAGTTATTTTATTGTTATTAATTCACTGTTTTTTAAGAACAGCTTAGTCCGTCTGGTGTGGTTCAGTGATTGAGCATCAGTCCATGCACCAAGAGGTCACCAGATCAATTCCCGGTCAGGGCACATTTGCGGGTTGCACGCTGGATCCCCAACAGGGGGCATGCAGGAGGCAGACGGTCAATTATTCTCTCTCATTATTGATGTTTCTAACCCTCTCTCCTCCCTTCCTCTCTCTGAAATCAAGAAAACATTTTTTGTTAAAAATTACAGTTTACTGATTTTTAGAGAGAAAGGAAGGGAGGGAGGGAGGGAAACATCGAAACACCCATTCATCTGCTGTCTGCTGCATGCCCCCTACCTGGGAATATGCCCTTGACCAGGAAACGAACAAGCAACCTCCTGATGCACAGGATGATGCTCAACCTACTGAGCCATGCTATCCAGGGAATTCACTGTTATTTTATTTCTTGTGAATCCTCACCTAAGGATATTTTTTCCATTGATTTTTACAGAGAGTGAAAGTAGGAAGGGAGGGAGCAGAGAGAGAGGGGGGGGGGGAGAGAGAGAGAGAGAGAGAGAGAGAATCGATGATGTGAGAGAAACACATGGACCCGTTGCTTCCTGCACCCACCCCAACCAGGGCAGGGATCAAGATTGAACCTGCAACCCAGCTACATGTCCTTGATCAGGAATCAAACCTGCGACCCTCGGGCAGATACTCTAACCCAGGGGTGGGCAAACTTTTTGACTTGAGGGCCACAATGGGTTCTTAAACTGGACCGGAGGGCCGGAACAAAAGCATGGATGGAGTGTTTGTGTGAATTAATATAAATTCAAAGTAAACATCATTACATAAAAGGGTACGGTCTTTTTTTTTTTTAGTTTTATTCATTTCAAATGGGCCGGATCCAGCCCGACGGCCGTAGTTTGCCCACGGCTGCTCTAACCCTTGATAAATACTGGCCAGGGCAATTTATTGTTATTTTTAACAAAGTTTAGCAAAGAGGCTATATGTCAGAAAAAACACTGTAGTAATTTCACCAACATAAATAAATATTATACATCTACAACTATAGTCTACATATTTAAATAGACTATAGTTGTAGATATATATTTGTCACTACTCGTAAACAATGTTCAGGGAATGATTAGCACGTGATCACACTGCATTGTGCTTGGAAATTGGTTCTTTCTCTTATGTGGTGGTGCGACTTTCTACAGCAGTTTTAACTCATGCCTGCCAATTTTCAGACAAGTGCTAAGCCACACTCCAACTGTGTGCATCTGTTTTCTCTCAGTGACTGGTGAATGCATGCATTTACTACATCTATTCAATATAAATTTAAAATTATGGTACTTTTCAGTAAAATTGAACTTCTCATACATACTTAATTACACCAATGTGTCTACATAAGTAAAAACAAGTAAACTAACTAATTTGTTAATTTTTTTAACATATGCATTCTGAAAACCTACTTTATTATATACTAGAGGCTCAGTGCACGAATTTTGTGCACAGTTTGGGTCCCTAGAGGCCGCCAGCTGGGGCCTTCCTTCGTTCTGTGCCGCCCCCTGGTGGTCAGCGTGTGTCACAGTGAGCAATCAAACTCCTGGTCGGTCAAACTCCTGAGGAGACACTTTGCATATTAGGCTTTTATATATATCGATAGGACTTTCAGTTTTAGCAGATACTGCCTGGCCCACATTAGTACATTATATCAAGGTTTTACTGTAATTTCTAACACAAGTTTCTGCATGAGAAAACAGGTCTCTTCAAAACAAAAGATTGCTATGTGTGACTTTTTTTAAAAAGCAAAATGCCCAGCTGGTGTGGCTCAATTGTTTGAGCATCGTCCAATGCACCAAGAGGTCACCAGTTTGATTCTAGGTCAGGGCACATACCCAGGTTGTGGGCTTGATCCCCAGTAGGGGGCTTGCAGGAGGCAGCCAATTAATTTTTCTCATAGATGTTTCTATCTCTCCTCCCTCTCCCTTCCTCTTTCTCTAAAACCAATAAAGACATATTTTTAAAAAGCAATTATTTGATTTGAAAGGAAAACATTAAACTGAGAAGTTATCACTGTTTTCACTTGAGAAAATGAATTTCATTCCTCTGTCTTACAGAGAGCTCACCGTCACAGAAGTGGGCCACAGAGTAGGGAGGGGAAGCATCAGCTTCTTTATGGATTTCAAATGTCTGTGTGTGTGCGAGGGAAGCCTGGTTCTTCAAAATAACCAAGATGCCGGGGAGCACACAAAGCCTTACCATGCTGAGGATGCTGCGTAGATTTCATATGGAAAATTTTCTCTTACCTTATTGATAATTTACAAACCAAAGAAATAAGGCATCATTTCCCCTTTTTCAAAACAGGTTTCCCTAACTTTTATTTATAAAACATTTTGGGGACTTAAAAAAGAGCATCAGGCCCTGGCTGGGTGGCTCAGCTGGTTGGAGCATCTCCCCATACACCAAAAGGTTGCAGGTTCGATCCCCAGTCGGGGCACATACAGGAAGCAACAGATGTTTTTCTCTCTCTCCCTTCCTCTCTCTCTCTCTCTCTCTCCCTCTTTCTAAAACAAACAAACAAATAAAAAACAACATGTCCTCAGGTAAGGATTTTAAAAGAAGAAAATAGCATCAGGTTTTTTCACCAGACTCGCCAGCCTCTGGCTCCCAGCCTCAGGTTCGTCCAGAGGAAACATCTTGTGCACAGGGGTGGGGCTTGAGGAAACCACCAAGAAGCATAGGCGCATTTCTCAAAGAAAATCGGACAAATTCCCACGTATGCAGACGCTTGAGCTTTTAAATGTAGATTCAAGTAGCAACAAGGTTTACCAGTCATCTTTATCTGGGGTGGGGTGACTAAAGTTCATCCCTCTTGTGAAATCTCCTGAAATTATTTTCTCTCCCATCAAACCTGCCCATCAGCAGGTCCTCCTCATCTTCCTCACGGGCCTTCCTCACTTCCTCCTTGGCCTGGATGGCATCCATCTCCCTCTCTGGGTCCTGCAAAAACAGAGACCGGGTGGCCAGGGATTATGCTTCCTGGAGGCTGAGCAGATGCTCATGCGCCACCTGCCTTCTGGAAGCCTCCACTCCCGCTCAGGGCAGCTGGGAATGAGCCGCCACAGCTATCAGGTCCTAATGCCTGGAAGCTGTCAAGATGACCTGATATGGGGAAAAGGTCTTTGCAAATGGGATTAAATTGTGTTGAGATTATCCTGATTTGTCAGGTGGACCCTAAATTCCATCATAAGTGTCCTCATAAGAGAGAGGCAGAGAGATTTGAAACACACACACAGAAGAGGAGAATGCCACATCAAGACAGAGGCAGAGCCCGGCCAGGGTAGCTCAGCAGATGAATGTCCATCCCAGAACCAAGTCACCAGTTCAATTCCTGGTCAGGGCACATGCTCGGATTGCAGTCTCAATGCCCTGTGGGGAGCTTGCAGGAGGCAGTCCATCGATGATGTTTCTCTCTCATCAATGTTTCTCTCTCTCTCTCTCCCTCTAAAAAATCAATGAAGACATAAAAAAAAAAAAAAGACAGAGACAGAAATTAGAGTGATATGGCCACAAACCAAGGGACACCAGAAGCCACCAGAAGCTGGAAAAGGCAAGAAAAGGATCTTCCCCTAGAACAGGGGTGGGCAAACTTTTTGACTCGAGGGCCACAATGGGTTCTTAAACTGGACCGGAGGGCCGGAACAAAAGCATGGATGGAGTGTTTGTGTGAACTAATACATGTTAACACTGCTGCTGGTGAAGGAGCGGAGGGGAGAGCAAGAGAACCCTCCGCTCTTTCGGCTCCGCGGGCCGGATGGAACAGCCCGCGGGCCGTAGTTTGCCCACGGCTGCCCTAGAACCTTGAGCAGGAGGGTGGTCCTGCTAAAGGAGTTCTGGCCTCTAGAACTGTGAGAGAATAAATTTGTGCTGCTAAGCCAGCCAGTTCGTGGTGATTTGTTACGACAGCCCCAGGCAATGAATTCATCCCTCTTTCTGTTCCCAGAGCAGTGGGTCCCTGTCCTTCAAACAGCTGAATGGGTGATAAGAAGAGACCTTAGAACCTACGTGAGAAAATCCAGGGAATGTAAAATTAGGCACACATTGATAACTATGTGAGGGACATTGTAAACCCAGATTGTTCACTCCTGGGCTGTTCACTGAAAGATACATACAGGAATGATTGTAACAGCTTTACGCACAAGGCCGCAAGCTGGAAGCCACCCAAAGCTGCCTTGACAGAGAATGGGATATTCTCACAGGAAGATGGAGCTACTGCTGCATGTGATAATATGAGTGCGTCTGACAACACTGCCTAAATGAGTAAATATGACTCTGTTTATATGAATTTCAAAGGGAGGTCAAATTGATCTAGATAGAATAGTGAGAGAATAGTGGTTCCTTTGGGGGCGGGTGCCGGCTGGGAGGGGATATGAGGAGGCTCCTGAAAGCATTCTGTGTGTTGATCTAGGTGGGGTGTTCATTAGCAAAAACCCATCAAGCCCTTTCCTACATGTTAGACTAAAGTACATAAATAAATAAATAAATAAATAAATAAATAAATAAATAAATAATGAAAGGAAAGTTCACTGCACTCATCATACCTTGGTTTCACCCCAGGTGGCCTTGCCAAAATTCTCAGCATACTCTTCGTCATCTGTGATCAGGAAGTTATCGAAGATGGTTCCAGATCTCACCTGCAGATGAAAATACAGCCTTCCTTATTGATGTGAGAAATATAACAACTTTCCACCAAGCAACAATTGCATTCTGCTCAGTACTGTGGCAGTAATTTGTTCTCAAAAGCAGCACATGCTTAAACCCATTTCTAGAATGCCTGCTCCCTCTAGGGCACTGGTTGTCAACTTGGCTGCCTACTGGGATCACCAAGAACATTTTTGAAACTCCTGATGCCTGGTCTCAGCCTTAGGGATGCTGCTTTAACTGGTCTGGGAGCTGCCTGGGCATTGAGACTTTGAAGAGCGCCCCAGTGCCTGGAGCACTCAGCAGTCTCTAAGAACTGCAGTTCAAGAACCTTTCTGTGCAACGTGTGGGCTGTGGACTGGCAGCATCAGCACCACCTGGGAGCTTGGTGGGAGTGCAGAATCCCAAGCTCCACACCCGACATGCTGCATCCGAATCTACGACCTCGTCCTAAAGCTGATGGACCCACAGGTCAGCTATGAGCTGAGGAGTGACCGATTCCCAGGGGGCAGAGGCAGACAGGACGGGCCCAGAGGGTGAGGAGGTCATCGGTCTTGGCCACAGCTGTATGCCTCGGGTCCAGCTACAGGTGCCAGGCACACAGCAGGAGTTCAGGAAATACAAGCGATGTAAATTAAGGCATTTAGGCTGAAATTCAGTTATTAAACTAAAGCAAATTAAAAACCCAGTGACCTGCCAAAGCTCCAGCCCGATGGCCCCAATGTTCTCAAATTCTGAAAGGTCGTATTCCGTCAAATAGTGGGTGTTTTTCATCTTTTGATGGAGCCAAACGTCTTTATCTATTCCTTCTGGTTTCAGGCCATCCTGCAACAACAAACCGCATGTGGTGGCCCGCAGTGATGCAGCAGGGGAGGGGGCAGCCCAAGGTGTCACAGGAAGAGGATGCCGCCATGTACCTGGTACGGAGGTTTCTGAAGCATTGGCGCCTGCCAGTCGCCGTCCAGTTCACTGTTCCAGTCACTTGGCTTGCTGGCACTGGCATCCAGAAAATGCTTCTCCCAGTCCTTAAAGTATGTGTAAGGAAAAAAAAAAAAGATTCTCAGATTTGAGAAAGGAAATTCTTAGCTACCAGGAAATGGCCAGGCCTGTGACCCAGGTCGCTGTTTCCTCGTCTCCTTCTCAGTTTGGTGGTTGAAGGGCCGAGTGCTCGGGGTCCAGATCCCACAGAGGGCCTTGGGGCCATGCACTGCTGGGATGTTCTCTCTCACCTCCCCTCAGCCCGTGTGACTGCAGCACTTTCCCCAAGCTATTGCGAGGAACAGCAATGTGGAAAACTTGAAATAGTGTCTTATGGGGCGCAGCTACAATGTTTTGGACAGGTTCAAGCCTTGGACTGAGTAGAGGGCACAGTCCTCTCGTTGCCACATGCAAGTCCCAGCTGGAGGACAGAGCCTTCCCATCACAATTAGCCAACAGCTATAGCTGTAAGCTTGAACCTGTGGTCTGAACACGTGGCCCCACGTGCCTGAGTGATATAGTTCAGGTGCATGTAGTTGAGTAGGGTTGAAACCAACGAGAATGCCGTAAACATCTTGATCACGCCCCTACTTTGCCTCATGGCATGCGCTATAAAATAAAGACGGCCTGTGGGCGCTGGCGCTGCCCATCAGAGGGGCAGCATCCCGCCGAGACCCAGCTTTCATTCTCATGTCTGTCTTTTCTAAGCCTTTCACCACCCCCACTCAGCGTCACTGAACGAGGCTGAGCTGGCATGGCACATAAGGCGCCCTGGGGCTGAGTATGCCATGGCCGTGCTGGCTCCCCATAGTGTCTAAAGGTAAAATGATGGGCAAAAAGTGATGATGGGAGAGGGGACCACACATTCATTGACGGTTAGCTGAAATCTGTCTACATCACAGTCACACATGGACTATTCCAGAGAGAAACTGGGTAACTAAGAAATGTCCCTGGATAGCAGGAGAAAAGCAATTACTATTGAGTCACTTTATAGACATAGAAACACTCACCTATATACACACAAAAATAATACATATATACATACATATATATACATATATACACATATTTAAATACACAATCTATGCATAATATATATAAGTACATATAAACAAGTTTATACAAACTCACATATACACATATGTACACATCTATATACCTATGTGTATGGCTTAGTAGGCACTGAATAAATAGTTGTCGAATAAGTGAATGGATAAGAAAAAATTGCTTAGATTAATATTTAGATAAATATATATAAAAACATAAAAGTTGTATACAATCGTATTTTCTCTTTTAGAACTGAGAAATTGCCGAAACTGGTTTGGCTTAGTGGATAGAGCATCGGCTTGCGGACTGAAGGGTCCCGGGTTCGATTCCAGTCAAGGGCATGTACCTGGGTTGCGGGCACATCCCCAGTGGGAGATGTGCAGGAGGCAGCTGATCGATGTTTCTCTCTCATCAATGTTTCTGACTCTCTATCTCTCTCCCTTTCTCTCTGTAAAAAAATCAATAAAATATACTTAAAAAAAAAAAAAAAAAAGAAAGCGCCGAAACCGGTTTGGCTCAGTGGATAGAGCGTCGGCCTGCGGACTGAAGGGTCCCGGGTTCGATTCCGGTCAAGGGCATGTACTTGGGTTGCGGGCACATCCCCAGTAGGAGATGTGCAAGAGGCAGCTGATCGATGTTTCTCTCTCATCGATGTTTCTAACTCTCTATCTCTCTCCCTTCCTCTCTGTAAAAAATCAATAAAATATATTAAAAAAAAAAAAAAGAACTGAGAAATTGTAAACATTTTTTAAATATATTTTTTATTGATTTCAGAGAGGAAGGGAGAGGGAGAGAGAGATAGAAACAATGACAAGAGAGAATCATTGATTGGCTGCCTGCCACACGCCCCCTTACTGGGGATGGAGCCTGAAACCTGGGCATGTGCCCTTGACCAGAATCGAACCCAGGACCCTTCAGTCCACAGGCCAACGCTCTACCCACTGAGAAAAACTAGCTAGGACAACATTTTTAACTTAGCAGCTTTTTCATGATACTCTAACTTCTCAACAACTGAAACATGGGAGTTAGTCACCGCTCCTACTGCTTTTTGTTGTAGTTGTTGTTAATTATCACCCAAGGATATTTTTCCATTGATTTTAAGAGAGAGTGGAAGGGAGGGAGGGAAACAGAAAGAGAGAAACATTGATGTTAGAGAGACACATCAATTGGTTACCTCCCATATGAGGTCCAACCAGGGCAGGGGTTCAAGCCTGCAACTGAGGTACATACCTTTGACTAGAATCGGACCTAGGCTCTATCCACTGAGCCAAACTAGCTAGGTCTCTCCTACTGCTTTTTTAAAACATACATATTTTTATTTATTTCAGAGAGGAAGGGAGAGGGAGGGAGGGATAGAAACATCAATGATGAGAGAGAATCATTGATCAACTACCCTCTGCATGTCCCACACTGGGGATCGAGCCTGCAACCCAGGCATGTGCCCTGACCAGGGATGGAACCGGGACCTACTGGTCCACAGGTCGAGGCTCAACCACTGAGCCATGCCAGCCAGGCTCTCCTACTGCTTTTTGACCCAGACCACAAATGACAACCATAAACCACTGCTGTGTTGGGATCCAGAAAACGATTCAATTCAATCTGAGTAGCAGGCTCCCTAGTAGAATTGTGGGTTTTCAGATTCTAATGCCATAATGAACTAATCTGTTTAGGAGCTCACAGGGGTCCGAGCATAGGGATAAAACAGCCAATTCAGAGGGGAGCTTCTGAAAGACTGATTAGCCCTGTGGGGACCTGTCTCCACCCAAACTGCTGGGGAAGGGGGAATTGCAGGGTTGTTGTTTTTTTTGCCATTCTGTGCCTTTTTAAAAGTAAGTGCTTTTTTTAGGTGAACGCTCCATTTTTTGGTTTGTTTTTAAGGTAAGAAAGGGAGGGGGAAACTTTGCCTTTTTTTTCCCCTTGAGATATGATGGAAAAATGTTACAATAAAGAAACATAGACTGTCCTAGCCAGTTTGGCTCAATGGATAGAGCGTCAGCCTGCAGACCTAAGGGTCCTGGGTTCGATTCCAGTCAAGGGCATGTACCTCAGTTGCAGGCTCCTCCCCAGCCCAGGCCCTGGTCAGGGCACATGCAGGAGGCAACCAATCGATGTGTTTCTCTCACATCACTATTTCTCTCTGTCTTTCCCTCTCTTTTCCACTCTCTCTAAAAATCATTGGAAAATATCCTGGGGTAAGGATTTAAAAAAAAAACAAAACTAGAAACATAGACTGAAAAAAAAAAGTGGCTGTAGTGGGTAATTCCAAAAAAGATTTATCTACATCCTAATTCTGGGAATGTGAGCTTAAAGGGGGCGGGGGAGTGTCTTTGCAGATGTAATTATGATAAGGATCTCGAGGCAAGTCAACTGGATTATTCAGGTGGACCCTAAATCCAATGATAAATGTCTTTATAGAAGACAGATGAGACACAAGAAGAGGAAAAGGCCATGTGGAGATGAAGCCAGCCAGAGAGACGGGAGTGATGGGTGTACCAGCCAAGGAATGCCTAAAGGCAACAGACACTGGGGGAAGTAAGGATCCTCCCATAGAGCCTCGAGAGGGAGTGTGGTCCTGCCTGCCAACACTCTGATTTCCAACTCTGCCGTCAAGAAGAACTACAAGAGAATACATTTCTGTCCTTTGAGAAATGCTGGAAAGGGTCCCGGGTTCGATTTTTGTTAATCCTCACCCAAGAATATTTTCCCATTGATTTTTAGAGAGTGGAAGAGAGGGGGAGAGACAGAGAGAAACATCGATGTGAGAAAGAGTCCCGACCAGGAAATAGAAAATCCTTTAAGTTAGGGATTTGCTCTTTGTGGTGCTTTGCTCAGAAGCCCTAGGAAACATAGTTATATGTTAATGGATCTTGGTCGTCAATCACAAGTATGAGGCCACAAAAATATTTCATGTTCAAATGCAGAATAACAAAAAAATTTTTTAAGGTTAAGATGCATTTAATTTTGGTTAAGAAAAACAAACCATACTTGTTTTGATCTCAAATATTATAAAACTTTTTCACAATACCTTGAGGCATGCAGATCTGTGGCTGGTTTCAGCACATATGCACTAGAGCAGTGATGGCGAACCTTTTGAGCTCGGCGTGTCAGCATTTTGAAAAACCCTAACTTAACTCTGGTGCCGTGTCACATATAGAAATTTTTTGATATCTGCAACCATAGTCAAACAAACACTTATATTTTTGATATTTATTTTATATGTTTAAATGCCATTTAACAATGAAAAATCAACCAAAAAAATGAGTTCGCGTGTCACCTCTGACATGCGTGTCATAGGTTCGCCATCACTGCACTAGAGAAAGCACTTTGATCATTATGTTGTTGTCATCATGATTACCCGCCATGCAGCAATCAGACAGGACCTAAGACTTACAAATTTTGCTTGCACACTTTCTAAAATTGTTTGGGAAAAATCTACACCTGGAGTTTGTCCTCTTCTTCCTGCTCCCAGTCCTTGGACTCTGCTGAAGACTTCTCCATCTTCTTCAGGGATGTTAAGTTCCAGTCATACTCAATGCTGCCGGATTCAATCACCTGGCCATCAATTTTCACTTCGTAAGTGAGATCTGGTCTTAAGATCAGAGTGTAGAGGTGTGTAAAGCCATCAACCTGCACATTTTAAGGGAGGAAAAGATGACAGGGAGATGTTTCAAGGCAGGTCTAAACATGCAGTTTAAGTTAGCATCAGTCAAAGAGTTGTTATAAACAGAAAGAAGAGGGGTTGTAGGATAGGGGACTGTAACAGGGCGTAACAGAAGCATCGCCTATTGGTAGAACCCTGCTACTGGCAGCCTTCTCTTGAGTGGCTGATTCCCTTCTGGGCAAAGATACTGGCCCCCACCATAATCCTACAGGCAGTTATGATGGGGCAGTTGGTGTAAACCATGGGACGATGGCGTCGTTTATGAAAAGTGATGTGTAAAACTACTTCCTGTTCTACATCCTGAAAGACTCCAAATGAAGTCTGCTCCATTTCTTTTCTTTTTTTTTTTTTATAATTTTGTTTTGAATCCTCACCCAAGGATAGGTTTATTGGCTTTAGAGAATGGGAGGAGGAGAGGGGGGGAAGCATTGATCAGCTACCTCCCATACATGCCCTGACTGGGGACTGAACTGCGACCGAGGTGTGTGTCCTGACCAGGAAATCAAACTACAACCCTTTGGTGTGTGGGACAACACTCCAACCAGGGCTCCGCTCTATTTCTAACACAGGGGAGAACTTTCTGATGCTCTGAGCTATCCAGCAATGGAAGCTCCGTGAGGGCAGGCCCAGTGTCTCTCTGGGTCACGATTAAAGCCCTGGGCCAGACACAGGAAAGTATTCAACAAATATGCAATTAAGGATGGGGCGGGGGGGGAGTGATGGGTGCCTGGGGGGGCTGAAGGTGCCCAGGATATGCCTGCCTGTCAATAGCGGAGGGGAATCCTACTGGGCTTCTCAAAGCACAACCCATAGCATAAGCATCACTGGGAAATGTAGGTTCCCACATGGGTCCCAACGTGCTGCACTGGAACCTGGTGGACCCTTCAGTAATTCTCACAGGCCCTCCAGGGACACTGACCCTGCTCAGGTTCAGGAGCCACTGCCCCAGCTTAAAGGGTCTGTGTCAGGAGGATTCTCTCCCTACCAAGAGCCAAAGCTAAAGGCTTCTTCAGTTCCTGCCTGTTGTGCCCTGCTGGACAGGCCACTGCGGTCCACACAGTGGCAAATGGCTTGTCCAAGATCAACACTGCAGTCTGCTTGGTGTGACAGCTGAATACCAATGCTCTCCCCCTGCTCTCTACTGGCCTTCTTCTCAACTCCCGTTCCTAACTCCACTTTGGGCTCCCTGGCCCCATTGCTGGGGCTCCCCAGGATTTGGCTACAAGAGCCGAGCCTCCTGGGGATTATATTCACTCCCACACATATGCAAACAGCTCCAAAAGGCATCTTTAATCCCAACCGTCTGCCTGAGCTTCAGACCTGTTTCCAACAACTTCCTGACACCTCTATCTGGATGTCTGCAAGTGTCTCTAATGCGCCTGTTCAACTAGAGAGCAGGACGGGGTATGTTTGCTATGACCTATCCCTGGCTCACTTAAATATTTTAAGATCAAAACTATTCTCTCTAAACTTATGTTATTATCTGACAAGAGTTAACACAATCACCTAACCATTCAAACATGACTCCCCAGTCTGTCCTGGTCCCTCCTTGACCTTTGTTTCCCTTCCTAAGTAACAGTAATGCTACTGAGAGTCATTGTTCACATCCTCAGCACCCACATTCCAAACATCACAAAGTCCTCTGGACCCCAGTCCTGAATGATGTCAATACGCTCCTACGGTCTGCATTCCGCCAGAGCCTGGGCCTGACAATCTCACCTGTTTTCCTGCCTGTTGATCACCCTGTCCCCCATTCACCCTCTCCAGAACATCTGAGCTATTTTTCTAACATGCACTTCAGAACCCTTGAGGTCTGACCACCGCCTGCAGGAAAGGTTCTCGCCTGTTCCTTTCCAGCATCACAGAATGAATCAGAACCCTTTGAAAATAATATACTCCTCCCCGGGAAGACCAGAATGCTGACTAGCTGCTGTGAATCGGTGCTCCTTCAGCAGATGGGTGTTGTTTTTCTAACAGATTGCAGGAACAGCAGCACCTGTCTGAGCACTCATCAGCCTTGGGTGCCTCTCAGGGCCCTGTAGGCTTGTTGACCCCAGGTGGTCATGCTTTGGCCTCCCAGGCATGCTCTGGGCTGAACCTCACAGCCTCCACAGTGTCTCTCCCACACACCTGATGTGCAACTGAACAATTTCTTGGGACTCAATCGTAAAGACCTGCCCTTTGGTCCAAACATTAAGTGGAGGGAGGAAGATTAAGATTGTGAGCTTCCCATCGCCCTATTGGAGGGGTGCATGGGGTGAGGGGTGAGCTCACAATCCAAGTGAACTACATCATCAGTAGGTGGGAGCCCAAGAGGGATGATGCTACCAATGGAGACTCACTGGGGTTTTGTGAAGAGGTCTACTGCTCCCTGCTGGGGTTAGGACTGACGAGGGAGAGTTGTAGATGCTTCCACTCCATGCTGTCAATGATCATGAAATACACTAGGGCCTCCTGCCCAAATTCATGCAGATTCACACAGGCCTCTGATGTTGGAGCTCTGGGCCCTGGGATGTCGCAGGGGACAGGTTCCTGTTTCCTGGTGCTTATATGCCAATGAGAGGGGCATTGTAGAACATACTTCTCTTCTGCAGGCCCACATGCCAGGGACTTAACACAGGCCATGCTTTGGAGAAGCCCAAGGTGGGGCCACTGAGTTCTAAAGCAGCCCCTAAGACCTAAAGAGTCATTTTCACAGATCCCCTGGGTAAAAAAGTAAGAGTGTATGCTTCCATTTTAGAAATATTTCTATTTTAAATGTTTTAGCATTTTGAAGATTCATTTCTCCAATTAATTTTCAGAAATAAAGGAGTGAAATCAGGAATATTTCATTCCTTAATAATGAAGGATATAGCTAAAATGTGACCACTCTGTTGTAACCCTGATGGGGCAATTTATAAATCAATGTCACAGCTCACAGTAAAAAGTGAATGTGCCCTCCTGATGGGAAAAAACTCCAGAAACCAAACCAAAGTAGTGGACAAGTGTCTCTAATGCGCCTGCTCAACTAGAGAGCAGGACGGGGTATGTTTGCTATGACCCATCCCTGGCTCACTTAAATATTTTAAGATCAAAACTATTCTCTCTAAACTTATGTTATTATCTGACAAGAGTTAACACAATCACTGATTTAAATATAAAATCAGCCTGACCGCCATGGCTCAGTGGTTGAGTGTCAACCTATGAACCAGGAGGTCGAGGTTCGATTCCAGGTCAGGTCACATGCCTGGGTTGTGGGCTCCATCCACAGTGGAGGGTGTGCAGGAGGCAGACGATCAATGATTCTCTCTCATCATTGATGTTCCTATCTCTCTCTTTCTCTCTTCCTTCCTCTCTGAAATCAATAAAAATATCCTATCTAATAAATGACAAAAAGGGTAATTAACCATACCTCTACTATGCTTCCCATTGGCTAATCAGGGCAATATGCAAATTAACTGCCAACAAAGATGGCGGCTGCAGCCACACAGCTGAAGCGAGCAAGAGGCTTGCTTGCTCCAGTGATGGAGGAAGCCAAGGTTCCCCGCCTGCCGCGGCCCAGCTCTGAGCTCGAAAGCAACAATGTTTCAATTATAGAAGCTAAACAAACCCCAGATACCTGCTTTCAGCCGGCCGTGGCCTCAGAGCTGGAGCGAGCAGGATGGCAACCATGTTTCAATTATAGAAGGTAAATAAATCTCAGAATAAAAAGAAAAAAGAAAAAAAGGAGAGGCTGGGATCTTCAATTGCTGGCCAGCCTGAAAACGGCCCTCAGCCCCTCACCCAGACTGGCCAGGCACCCCAGTAGGGATCCCCACCCTAAAATGGGTGAGGTCAGCCTGAAAACAGCCATCACCCCCTCATCCAGGCTGGCCAGGCACCCCAGCGGGACCCCCACCCTGATCCAGATCACCCTTCAGGGCAAACCAGCCGGCCCCCACCCGTGCACCAGGCCTCTATCCTATATAGTAAAAGGGTAATATGCAAACTGACCCTAACAGCAGAAAGACTGGGAATGACTGGTCACTATGACACACACTGACCACCAGGGGGCAGATGCTCAATGCAGGAGCTGCCCTCTGGTGGTCAGTGCACTCCCACATGGGGGAGCTCTGCTCAGCCACAAGCCAGGCTGATGGCTGCCAGTGCAGCGGTGGTGGTGGGAGCCTCTCCTGCCTCCTCGGCAGCGCTAAGGATGTCCGATTGCAGCTTAGACCTGCTCCCCGCTGGCAAGTGGACATCCCCCGAGGGCTGCCAGGCTGCCAGAGGGATGTCTGATTGCCATCTTAGGCCCAAACCCCCGGGGAGCGGGCCTAAGCCAGCAGGTGGTCATCCCCCGAGGGGTCTCAGACTGCGAGAGGGCACAGGCCGGGCTGAGGGGCCTCCCCCGACCCCAAGTGTCCAAATTTTTGTGCACCGGGCCTCTAGTATTTAATAAATAAATACAAAATAATTTACCTTACACCTGATAGGTTTCTTGTTTGAATGATACTGATTCTTGAAATGTAAAATAACATGAACTTTCTTGATATCAAATCCACAAATATCAGGTCCTACAAAAAAAAAATTAGCAGCTCTCAATTTCCTTGCATAATGCATTACCACAACATACCCCCAACCATTCTCCTGAAATAATATCCAAGGCACAGGACGCTTACATGTCCAGGAATGATCAGATACCTACATGGAGATATTTAAGTGGATATCTCCCATTTATATCACCTGAGAAGTGATATCGTTCTCAGTTCAGGTCATTTCTCTGTTCCCTGTAGCCACTTTGGCCTCAAGTGTAAATCAGCATAAGAGTAAGGAAAGGGTTAACAATCTAAAAAGCCTCCCTGACATGCTGCCTGAGTCTGGGGTCCTTGCTTGGAAGCTCTGACCAGTGTCCCTGCACCCAGGTGCAGGCTTTGGAGCCGGACTGATTGGCTCTGACCTCCGCTCTCCTTCAGTTCTGAGACACAGTTGCAACTATGCAGCCTCTCTACGCCTTGAGTTAATCTTGACTTCACAAAGCTATTTTGCCAATTAAATGGGCTAATGTTGTTTTTAAAAATACATTTGTTGATTTGGGAGAGGAAGGGAGAAGGATAGAAACATTGATGAGAAACATCAATTGGCTGCCTCCTGCACACCCGCTACTGGGGATGGAGCCCGCAACTTGGGCATGTGTCCTGACTGGGAATCAAACCATGACCTCCAGGTTCATATGTCAATGCCCAATCACTAAGCCACACCCCTCGGGCTATGTGTTTATTTTTACTAGTATAGTCTCTGTGCCAAGTCAGCCTGAGATGTAAACTTAAGGTCTTCTCAGGTCTTTTCTGAGTCTTTCCCTGGGCATGTGTGGTCACTTTCTAATTTTCCCTGAATAAATGTCCTATTCTTTAGTGTCTGGCTTCCTAAGGGGAATGGGGAAATAATGGGGGGGGGGGGGCGCGGTCCTGGCCCTTTACTTCCCCTGGAAGTCACTTGGCTGGAGGCAGAGAGGATTACAATAGTGAGGGAGGTACAACCAAATGGCTGCCCCACTCTGTGACCAGAAGCACCGATCCGCGATCAGAGCGCAGAACCCAAATATTTGGAGGACAGAGTCCTTTCTGCCACCCTAGCTCCTGCAAGCTGTGCATAAGCTGCTCCAGGAACGCCTGCACTGCTGTGTTAGGGTGGGAGGTGGGGATATGCTACTGTGCTGAGGCTAAAATGGACTGAATTTAACCTTCCCGGTTTCCCCTGGAATTTGCAATCCTTCCACGGACTCCAGTCCCAAAATATTTAAATCTGGCAGCTTCTGCCAGTAGAACTGTTGTCTAGGTGGGGAGACAGATTCCTAGTGCTTCCTACTCTGCCATCTTCCCAGAATCCTCTTCGTTCATAAAGCTTTGGGATCACACACTTTGGTCATGTCTACTTTCTGTGGCCCAATGTGGTCTCTTCCCATCCAGCACACATTTTAATCAAGTTCCCCTGGTGTCAGGAGACATGTAATGTATTCCAGGGTCAGCCAGTCTTTTCTGTAAGGGGCAAGGCAGTTAGTATTTTTGGCTTTGGGGCCATATGGTCTCTGTTACAAGGGCTCCACTCTGCCATTGCTGTCTGAAAGCAGCTCTTGACAAAATGCAAATGAATTGAGTGAAACTACAGCCAATAAGACTTCATTTGTGGACACTGAAATTTGAGTTTCACATCATTTCCACATGTCAAAAATATCCTTCTTAAGATTTTTTTTCAGTCATTCAAAAATGTTAAAACCCATTCTCAGCTCACACGCCATAACAGATACAGGCTGTGGCCTGATCTGGCCCATGGAAAAGGTTTTCTGACTCCTGATACATTCAGAATACCTGGGTCTACATTAATGTTAAACAAATAACTTTCTCTAAAGTATAATAGAATGGTACAGTTGCATTTTTTTTTTTTTAATGTTAAACAGGTTTAACAGTACTAAAAACCTTTGGCCATGTATACACAATACGACCATCTTCGCAGTCTTGGTCTAAGGATTCCAGAGGTGGAAGGATCTTCAGTCACCAGAAATGGTGGCTTTGTACCGCCTGAACTCACCAAACATCACATAGTACTGGGACTTCCCACTCAGGTTCTTCTGGTCCACATCCGAAGGGAAGATCTTAACGTAGCCCCCTCCACAGTCCATCTTCTGCTCGTGCTTCACTGTGTACTGAACGACCAGCGTCTTCCCTTTATTGCTGAACGGTTTAAACCGTGCAGAGATGGCATAGAACCGGCCATTCTGAGTGGTTTGCAGACCTTCAAACAAAAAACACTCATGAGAGATTAGGAGAGACACAGTGCTCAGTGATGCAGGTAATTAAATTATTGTCTTTCTCTTACTCCCAGGAATAAACCTCCTAACCATTTACATTCATCCAGCACCTAGAGTTCATTTGTACAATATACAATGGACATGCCACAGAACTGCTTTGACACATGCAGATGTTTTCGTACTTAACATACCCCTGTTATGTTATAAAAGCACTGTAGCTCTAAATGACAAATATGCATTCTAACGATAAAAGGTTAATTTTGCTTCCATTCATCTTCCAAGGGGTGGGGATATATAAGGAAGCTTGTGTAACAACTGAATTAAAATACAAAGCATTCTACTTCTTTTTCTTAATTCTCATCTTAAAATAGTGACTTACGAGTCACAACAGACCAGCCGGTGTGGCTCAGTGGTTGCGTGTTGACCTAGGAACCAGGAGGTCATGGTTTGATTCCCAGTCGGGGCACATGCCAGGTTTGCAGGCTCCGTCCCCAGTGTGGGGGTGTAAGAGGCAGCCAATCAATGATTCTCTCTCCTCGCTGATGTTTCTAACTCTCCCTCTCCCTTCCTCTTTGAAATCAATAAAAATTATTTTTAAAAAGTCACAACAGCAGCCCTAGCTGGTGTAGCTCAGTGGATAGTACATCAGCCTGGGGATCAAAGGGTCCTGGGTTCGATTCCTGTCAAGGGCACGTATCTTGTTGCAGGCTCCTCCCCAGATGGGCTCTGCTCAGGGCTCCTGCAGAAGGTAACCAATTGATGTGTTTCTCTCACATTGTTATTTCTGTCTTTCTCTAAAACTCAATGGGAAAAATATCCTCAGGTGAGGATTAACAAAAAAGAGTCACAACAGCAGATGGAGGACAGTGCAGATCTGTGAAAAAGTGCTTGCTTCACTGTGCCGGATGAGCTGGCTCATGGTCGTCATGTGCGATGGCTCTTTTTATGAAGATGCCATCCTTTGTCATGTGAATCATCTCATATTTGTGTTATACATTTAAGTGTTCACTTTGACGCCAAAACCCCCTTTTCAGTAGCCACTAGGCCAGCCTGGCTGAATGCCTTACCACCACACCTCTCTGAGTCCTTCATTCTTTCCTCACCCTCTTCCTCAGATCTGCAGCCCCTCCTCCCCGTGTGGCCCCTTCCATCGAGGCAATTCCTAAGGCCGTATGATTCACCATCTCCCTCTGTGTCCTACCCCCCTCCTCAGCCATACCCATGGCCTTTCTGACTAAATCCTATGTCTTTTCCCAACAATAGCTTCTATGTTATGGTCCCAAGAGACCACAACAGAAGGGGCCAAATTAACCGGTATCCTCAGTGCCTTGCCCATGTGTAGTGAATGAAATGCACACAATCTCAGGATCCCAGACGGAAGGGAGAAAAAACACTGTGGAGAGAACCAAACCGACGCTAAGCGGGAACCCCTGTCCTTGGACAAGCTTCATAGAATCACCTGCTTGTTTTCACTCCATTTTTGTCACAGAGCTTGAATTCTGACCAACTCTTGGGGTCAACATGTACCTGATAAAACTATGCATATACCATTGAACACCAGAGGCTGCCAGACGGGGAAACACGGGAATAACAGGACCGAGATAAAGGTTGAATGGAAGATGGTGAAGAAGTAGGTTTTCCCCCTAAATCAGGGGTTGGCAAGCTTTCTCTGTAGGGCCAGAGAATACCCATTTTAGGCTTCGTCTGCCATTCGCTTTTTGTCCCGACGACTCTATTCTGCCTGGGCAGTGTGAAAGGAGTCATACAGACCATGTGCAAACAAATGAGCATGGCTGTGTTCCCTTAAAACTTTATCGATAAACACTGAAATTTTATATATTTCATTGAATGTTATATAATTTTTACTTGTCATAAAAGCACTATTCCCCTTTCAATTTCCCCCCCTATTAAAAAGTGTTAGCCCTAACTGGTTTGGCTCAGTGGATAGAGCATCAGCCTGTGGACTCAAGGGTCCCAGGTTCGATTCTGGCTAAGGGCATGTACCTTGGTTGCGGGCACATCCCCATAGGGGGTGTGCAAGAGGCAACTGATCAATGTTATTCTCTCATCAATGTTCCTAATTCTCTATCCCTCTCCCTTCTCCTCTGTAAAAAAATCAATAAAATATTAAAAAAAAAAAAAGTGTTAGCCCTAACCGGTTTGGCTTAGTGGATAGAGCGTCGGCCTGCGGACTGAAGGGTCCCGGGTTTATTCCGGTCAAGGGCATGTACCTTGGCAGTGGGCACATGCCCAGTATGGGGTGTGCAGGAGGCAGCTGATCGATGTTTCTCATCGATGTTTCTTTCTTTCTTTCTTTCTTTCTTTCTTTCTTTCTTTCTTTCTTTCTTTCTTTCTTTCTTTCTTCTTTCTTTCTTTCTTTCTTTCTTTCTTTCTTTCTTTTTAAATATATTTTATTGATTTTTTACAGAGAATAAGGGAGAGGGAAAGGAGAGTTAGAAACATCGATCAGCTGCCTCCTGCACGCCCCCCACTGGGGATGTGCCCGCAACCAAGGTACATGCCCTTGACCGGAATCCAACCTGGGACCCTTGAGTCCGCAGGCCGACGCTCTATCCACTGAGCCAAACCGGTTAGGGCATCATCAATGTTTCTAACTCTCTATTCCTCTCCCTTCCTCTCTGTAAAAAATCAATAAAATATATATTTTTAAAAAGTGTTAGAACCATTCTGTGTGCTGGCTTAGGAAAAACAGGTGTTCGATGAGCTGCATCTTGTCCACCATTGGTCATCGGTCACGAGCAGCAGCCAGAACAGAGGTTGTTCCAGAACCGGGAGGCTGCGGACGTGGAGGGTGGGGTATTGGGGGGCCTCTGGGGGGCAGGGCTGGGAGTCCCTCGCTTGACCTGTGCGCACAGGGATAAGCACTCACCCTGCTGTGCCCTGAAGAGCTGTGCACCTGACAGCATTTAACTTTTTTTTTTTTTAATATATTTTATTGATTTTTTACAGAGAGGAAGGGAGAGAGATAGAGAGTTAGAAACATCGATGGGAGAGAAACATCGATCAGCTGCTTCCTGCACATCTCCTACTGGGGATGTGCCCGCAACCCAGGAACATGCCCTTGACCGGAATCGAACCTGGGACCCTTCAGTCCGCAGGCCGACGCTCTATCCACTGAGCCAAACCGGTTTCGGCAACAGCATTTAACTTTTACCTCCTTTTCTTCCCTTCTTAAAGTGAAGGGAAAAGTATCCTTTTGTTCTTTTTTCCTCTGCAGGGCAAGGCCCTGGGGCCCACCCTAGTGCGTACAAAGCGGGTTTTGCTGGGCAAGTGAAAAAAAGAGAAAAACAAAAAGTAACGCCGGACCCCAGCGAAGCCTCGGTTTCCTCACCTGTGAATGGGGTTGGGGGTGTTGGGTGAGCCGCACCGGCCCTGAAAGGCTGCTATGGGGGATTTCACATTTAGCTTGATTTTCCCTGCACCCCTAAACTAACCTTTGTCTTTCTCTTTATGGCCATAAAACTTCCCTGACGAGAGTCTAAAATGCCCGAATTGGGAGTCATTGGTGGACTGCACCCATCGGTTCCTCCAGCGCTCTGTGGGGGGAAACACATGGTCAGGGCTGGGTGCGGGGGCCCTCGGGGCGTCGCCACAGCCACCCCGGAGCCAAACGTGACTCGGGCCCTCCGTCGGGCGGCAAGGAAACGGGGAGCTTACGCCCCCGCCACCATGGCGTCGCCTTTTCACCTCCGTCTAGAAACTCTTCCTGGAAGTAGACGGTGGCCAGCACCACCCGCAACACACAGAGGGAGCAGAACAGGACCCAAGGCGCGGCCATAGAGGGTGCGCGGAGCCTCTTGTAACCGCCCCTGTGCTCCCAGCAGTCTCCGCGGCGATCCGGGCCCTTCCCGGAACTACAACTCCCGTCACGCCTCGCGATTGTGATCTGCGGCATCACTGGTCCCAGCGCGCTATTGTGCCCCTCCCAAGACGTCCCGCTATTGTGACATGGGATCCTATTGGTCCTCGGGGGCGCAGGGCGCGCTGGGAGATGTAGTCTCTTTCGTCCCGGTGCGGTTGCCGGGGGCAACGGTCCTCTCAAGTTTGAGTGCCAGGCGGAGAGCGGCGTTGGACTCCGTGGATGAACATCGAGGGCGGAGGTTGGCTGGGCAGGCTGGGCGGCAGGGGCTCTGAAGAGAGAAACGACGGGGCCGGGGCGGGAGGGTGGCGGTAGGGCAGCCCCCCAGCTGCGCCTCCTACCCTAGTTTCCCTGTTTGGATCCGTTCGGGAGTGTGATCCGGTGTGGATCGGTCCAGGCCTGGGGAGAGACTCCAGTGCTTCGATTTTTTATTTTTAACAATTTTATTGAGGATTCATTTATATACCATACAATGCATGCTTTTAAGTGTACAAGTCCATTATTTTTTAATAAACTTACCAAGTGGTGCAGCCATCACCATGGTCCAGCTGTAGAACTTCGCATCACTCCAAGGCTGCGGTTCTCAGCCTTCTGGCCCTTTAAATATAGTTCCTCCTGTGGTGACCCAACCATAAAATTATTTTCGTTGCTACTTCATAACTGTAATGTTGCTACTGTTATGAATCGTAATGTAAATATCTGATATGCAGGATGGTCTTAGGCAACGCCTGTGAAAGGGTCTTTCGACCGCCAACGGGGTCGCGACCCACAGGTTGAGAACCGCTTCCCCAAGGAGATCGCTGCCCCCATCCCCTTTGCAGTCCATCTCAGCCCCCACTCCTAGCCCAGCAGCTACTGATGTGCTTTCTGAGTCTATAGATTTGTCTTTTCTGGTGTTTTGCATCTAGCTACTTTCGCTCACTGTAATGTGTTTGAGATGTATGCCTATTATGTGTATTGATATTTGTTCTTTCTTATTGCTGAATAGTATTTCACTGTCTGAATGGACCTCAGTTCTCATCCATTCTCTAATTAATGGACATTTGGGTTGTTTTCTCTTTTTGCCTATTATGAATGATAACTGGTATGAATATTTGCATATATTTTATTTATCTTGGGCCACATGGAGTGAAATTGCTGGATCACTTGATAACTATGGTTAACCTTTTGGGGAATTACCAGATATATTCTAAATTGGTGACTGCACCATTTTACAATATCCTCTCCCCAACAGTGTATGAGGGTTGCAATTTCTTTGCTTCTTCACCAATGCTTGTTAATATCTGTCTGTCTATATCTATCTATCTATCTATCTATCTATCTGTCTAGTTATAGCCATCCTAGTGGGTGTGAAGTGGGATCTTAGAGTCTTTTTTTTAAAATTTTTTTGTTAATCCTCACCAGAGGATATTTTTTCATTGATTTTAGAGAGAGTGGAAAGGAGGAGGAGAGACAAAGAGAAACACCAATGAGCACTTGAATTGGTTCGCTCCTGCACGCTCCCTTGGGGCCGGAGATTGAGCTTGCAACTGAGGTGCATGCCCTTGACCAAAATTGAACCCAGGACCCTTCAGTCCGAGGGCCAGCACTCTATCCACTGACCCAAACCAGCTAGGGCAATCTTATGATGGTTTTGATGTACATTTCCCTAGTGGCTAGTGATGTTGAACATCTTTTCAAGGGTTTGTTGACGATTTGAGTATCCTCTTTGGAGAAATGTCTGTTCATGACCTTTACCTATTGATTTATTTTTAATTGTGTGTATTTTAAATATGTCTATTTTAGGTGTGGTAATGTACATAACACGAATTTTGCCATTTTAACCGTTTTTCCATTGGTTATTTGTAAACCCAGGGAAGATTTCAGAACAACTAGATGCCAGAAATCCTGGCCTGGTGGTGGGGCCTCCCCTCCGACTCACAGAACGGGCTGGGCTGAGTCACCTCCTGAGCCTCACCTACAAAATGTTCATACAGATAGTTGTTGACGTCATTTCAGCTCAGTGTGGAGACAGCCCACGCTTCCGCACACATCTCCCTCGTTCCTTTGTTTCCCGCCTCATTCCTTTTAATGGCTGTATAGCGTCCTATCATCTGAATGCCGTCTCCTGGACTCTCCCAGGTCTCTGTGGGTGGGTTTGGACTTTTATGACTACAAACAATGCCACCATGTCATTCTCTAAAATTCTCTCTGCACATTGAGAGTGTTCATTGTAAGTACATTCCCAGACATGGAATTCTCAGGTCGTGAGATCTGTGTAATTCGCATTTTCTTTTTTTTTCTTTTTAAAATATATTTTATTGATTTTTTACAGAGAGGAAGGGAGAGGGATAAGAGAGAAACATCGATCAGCTGCCTCCTGCACACCCCTACTGGGGATGTGCCCGCAACCAAGGTACATGCCCTTGACCAGAATCGAACCTGGGACCTTCCAGTCCACAGGCTGCCGCTCTATCCACTGAGCCAAACCAGTCGGGGCTGTAATTCACATTTTCATTGCTGTTGCCGAGTTTCTCACTAAAGGGTGCAGCAAATACACACCCACCACACCGTATTTCTCCATCAATTTACGTCTTTAAAATCTTTGGAAACCTCTGTAAATCTTGCAGTCGGTCGCTCCTGGTCTTCAGGGGCTCACAGGAACTTCAGAATATGATGAAAGCTCTGGTCCTTCTCCCCAGAAAAATGTACACCAGCTTGGGTACATAATAGATGGCTGACATTTGTTGAGGGGAGGGTGCTGTGTCTTCCATAGCTTTCCCCTCCTTCCAGGTCAGTGGTTCACATACTTTTAGTGAAATAAGATTTTTCTGGGGAGCTCAAATACACAGACTGTGTGTGTGATTTTTGAAATCCTCACCAGAAGATATGGTTTTATTGACTTGAGAGAGAGGGAGAGAGAGAGAGATATTGAGAGAGAGAAACACCCATCAGTTGCCTCTGGTATGTGCCCTGACTGGGAATCGAACCTGCAACTTAGGTATATGCCCAGGCCGGTACCGAACCTGAAACGTTTTTGGTGTATGGGACTATGCTCCCACCAGCAAAGCCACCCAGCCAGGGCCAGATTGTGTGCGTGTGTGTGCGCGTGTGCGTGCGTGTGTGTGTGTGTGTGTGTGTGTTTTAATATATATATTTTTTATTGATTTCAGAGAGGAAGGGAGAAGGAGAGAGGGATGAAAACATGAATGTTAAAGAAATAGAAGCATAAAAAAGAAAAGAAAAAACACATTAATGTTGAGAGAGAATCATTGATTGGTTGCCTCCATTGATCGAACCGTGACCTCCTGGTTCATAGATCCTTGCTCAACCACTGAGCAACACCAGCTGGGCCAGATTATGTCTTAACAGCTCTTTGTTAGAGTTGAGGATGGATAAAAGAGGAGCCCTGCCCGACTGGCGTGGCTCAGTGTTGAGCATCGACCTATGAACACAGTTCGATTCCTGGTCAGGGCACATGCCCGAGTTACAGGCTTGATCCCCACTAGGGGGGCATGCAGGAGGCAGCTGATCAGTGATTCTCTCAACATTGATGTTTCTATTTCTCTCTCCCTTTCCCTTCTTCTCTGAAATCAATACAAATATATTTAAAAAACAAAACAAAACAGAGGACCCCTGACTTGGGTTTAGCGGGGGAGTATGAGTCACTCAGCGAAGAGGGGGAATAACTGGGGAGGCAGTGAAGCTTTGAATTTGGCTCATGTGCTCACCCGCCAGGTGACCTTGGCCGGTGACCTAACCTGTGGGGGCTTTTGTTTCCTATACTTCCTGTATGAAAGGGGGTGACAGTAATTGACTCACAGGGTTGCTTGAGGATTAAATGAGATAATGTAGCTCTGAGCAGAGTGCCGGGTACACTGCTGCAGCCCGAGAAGTGCTAGCTCTGGTGTTTCATAAGTAACATCTCATTTAAGACCTGGCCTGAAAGTGGTAGGTAGCCTGAAAGTGGTAGGTTTGGCTCAGTGGACAGAGCGTGAGCCTGCAGACTGAAGGGTCCCAGGTTCGATTCCGGTCAAGGGCACATGCCTGGATTGCTGGCTCGATCCCCAGTGAGGGACATGCAGAGGGCAGCCAATAAATGATTCTCTCTCATCATTGATGTTTCTATCTTTCTCTCCCTCTCCTTTCCTCTCTGAAATCAATAAAAATATATTAAAAAACAACAGCACGGTAGGTAATCGCTTAAATGGTACCAAGTGTCTGATCATTTTCCCTGTCATCAGGCTTGCAGGCAAGGCTCTGTCTCACCAGACTACAAAGGGGTGGTTTGAATGCATGATACGTTCTCTTTCTTTCCTCCTCAGAATGGCTTCAACAAGAAAAAACAGCCATCCCATGCATGATATCTTTGGTGATTTCAATGATATTTCCTTAGAAGATTCAAAGATGGGAAAAATAAAGAACTTGAAAATCAGTAGGAATCTTACCAAAATAGCTCCCGGTCATAGCAGATTTCTAAAAAGAAGCCACACTATGGGTGGACAGCACTTCTTCCCGAAAGAGGACGCTGGCCTGGGGGGTGGGCCCTGGCTGTCCTCGGGGAGACCCCCGGCCACTGCCTCACAGCTCAGGACCAGAGCCGCGCTGCGCAGGCTGGCCCAGATCGAGTCCAAGATCATGAACCGGAAGGTGCAGGTGGACTTGTCTGACCTGGAATCCAACTCGAAGACCTCCAAGGACAGCCTTCCCTGGAGAGCAGACAAAGGGCCTCCTCGGAGTCCAGCTGAAGTTTCTTCGCAGAACACAGACGAAACCTCCCGGGAGCAGGCCCCTGAGATTCCCCCCACCGAGAGCCGCACACCGGGGCGGAAGGGCAGTAGGTTTCTGAAGAAGAGAGAGCCGCCCGTTGAAGGGCTTTCTCCTGCAGCCCGTTTTGGGACAGAGAGGAGCATGTCAGCACCCAGAGAGAAAGCACCCGTTAGACAACTGGGCTGGCCAGAC